CAAGTAGGCAGAGTTTAAGTTTTCCTTATGAGCCACTTTTGATCCAGACAATCACATAAACAACCCATTTCTAATTATCCAAAATTAAATACAATACAACCAAATCAGTTCAGAATTACGAGTTTAAAAGATGATTTCAGTATGTGCAGTCATATAACTGCAAATTATTAAACAATATCAACCATATATGATGTGAAGCTTTCACGGCGGCTTTCATTAATAAAGTCTTCTCGGGCTATCAGTCGTGTTAGTTGGTAATCAACCGCAGATGTTTCGAGGACCATCTCTGTCCTCATTTTCAAGGCTGTTGGCTGTGTGGCCCTCGAAACGTCGACGACTGGTCACCAACTAACACAGCTGATGGCCCGAGAAGACTTTATTAATATCAACCATATTTATGGTCCTTTACTAATATTATAAATGCACAACACAGTCTTGCCATACTTCAGACACAAGTAACATGCTGGCACTAAATGCCAACACACAGTAACAAGACATACTGGTAACGTGACAGACTTCACGGTTCATCGCAGAATTGGACAGAACGTCGTACAGATTACGCTAAAAATGGAATGGAAAGTTTCAGTTGTAAGCTGTTTCAAATCTTATGACATGACACGAGATGTGAAAGAAGACTACAGAAGATCAGCTGTAACATGATAACACAGTAGTATTTTACCCAATAGAAAGAAATATTTATGTTATATATATAAATCAACTTTGAGAAATTAACTAAGTCAGAGGTCATCTTATATTTCTAAGTCACTTACGACAGGTGAAAATAACTAACTCTGAAGTAATTCTTACATATTTCAGAAGTTACATAAATAAATATTAGATTAACCAGGGATTAAAAAGAAATGTAATGTGTAAAAACATTTTTAAATTTTAAGCACAGAACAAACAAAGGAACTAAAATTTAATAAGGGTAACAAGAATGGCCATTGTAGTACCAACCATGTGTAAAATTAGGAAAACCACAGCTACACTATGTTATATAGCAATAGTTTCCAGTCAACCGACACTAGCTTCATGGTTTCCAGAACAAAGTTTTAAAGACAAAATGCATGCGACTTTTATCATGTCTCTTATGTCTTAATACTTTTGAGAAAATAGATGTTTTCTAATGGATCCATAAATAATAATTTTAAAGAACCCTATGATTTATCATGGAGAAAAATTCTGAATAATATTTCAACCAAATTTGGAAACCAAGAAATTTGTTCAGATGAAGATATGCATGCATGATACATCTAGGATGGGATCCTGTAAGTGAACACTTAGCTGATGCATTTAAACATAAGTGTGCTCTATGCGCACTTTTTTAAATTTTGCTCCGAAATAGGATCATGAGGAACGTCCAGTACAATCATAAAACATTGCAACTAAATTTGTCTAAATCAGGCACTGGTACTTGTTTATGTCGGTACTGTTAATTTGTTATGTAACATAAATACCATAAAAAACATACTAAGAGTAAACTTATTTCAAACTCTATCTAACAAACGTATAAGCACATTTAACTATAGGTAAAGTGTTGGGAAAGCAGAGAGAACTGTATAGAACAGAGTTGCATGACAAGATACCAAATTCATAAATTAGACAAATTAAAGCTAAGAAAATATGGATAATTATTACAAACACTGTGAAAACAGAGATACGAGAATTGATCTGAAAGTTTATAAAACTGAATTGTTAGGTCCACAGCATGCAGAAATGAGAAGAAAAAAATTTACAAAGGAAGAATTTAAAGGGGTTATAATGAGAATGAAAAATAATAAGACACGTTTTCATGGGATACCAGCTGAAGTCTGGAAAATGCTCTACACCATAAAAGAGTAAAATTAAACTTTAAAGAACACATTTACAAAATAAATGGTAAAAAATTCCTCTCCATTATTCAATTTATAAACAGAAACAAAAATGGGGAAACCAAGCAATCACAGTAAAATTTTGTACTTTATTTGTTTTAGGAAAAATATTATCCATAATTTTGGCTGGAACACTATAGATTGATTTATTAATGTTTAAAGTGGGGTTTGTGACAGGTAATATTCTTCATACTCACCGCTATGAAAACCTCAAATCTTAAATACAGCCAGGGTTTAAACCATGCACAACGGAGCTACCAGCCAGAATTAAACGGTATGCTACTGCGATGTATGGCCAGCTGAACCACATCTAAGCCATGAAGCACAGCCAATAAAGATTGGAGGTTGTAATATTAGTATTTTGCAGATTTTAAAAAAGCTTTTCTCTCGGTTTTTACTCAGAAGCTATATGGTTTAAGATAATATGAAAAGACAGATGTATCAAATTGGTGAATTGTATTAATAACATATACAGTGGTATTAAATTCTGTGTGAAATTTGGAGAAGGTGACATTTTGTTTACGTGTAATATATGAACATGATTTGAACCCTCATATTTTAATACTTTATAGATAATATTATGGATTATATTACTAATGGTCACAAACATCCATCAGTAACAAGAATGACAACAATTTCAGGATTATCTGCAGATGATTTGGCCTATTACCACTTACAGATAAAGATTTACAGAAAAAAAATTGACAAAATTGTAAAATGTTATAGTGAACGTAAATTAGAATTAAATCTACGTAAGTTTTTAATTGCATAATGTATTTAAGAAAGGAGACATGCTGAAAAAAAAAGGGCCATGCACAAGGTGTTCCACTTAAAATACAACCCTAATTACAACAACGCTTGTAAGCTTTAGCGACATCAATCTAGTAAAATAAATAAGTTTTTTTTTTTATATTTTTGTTACAAAAAACTTACAGAACAGTTTCACAGCACATGCAGGTGTCTTTAAAATAAACATCCACCTGAAATTTCATTACAAGTTGGTGTACTGTTGCTTATTTGATACTCCTTTGTAGGATACACATTGCTAACTGGTTGAACAGTAGCAAACAATTCTGATGCAAGGTAATGTTCAAGAAAGAACAAACATTCACGCCTGCACCACTTTTGTGTAACTCGGATGAGCAGCAGCTCAGCAACCAGGGCAACCTTGACTTGAGTGTCATGGGGAAATTTCCGAGCATCTATTACATGGGGCTGAAAGTGCTTCTAATTTTACTTTTGTACCAAAGTGCACTGTTGGATTGCATTTTAAATGGTACACCATTTTTAATGAAGTAACAGAAATGGAAGATGGAATAAACAGAGCCAAGTTAACAGCAATTGTAAACCAGACTTTAGGAGCTGCTGACGAGTGCTTAGCAAGAACACGAGATTTTAATGTAAAGATTTTAGAAAATGTCTACGAGATATTATGTGAATCCAGACCTATGTACAACAAATGTCAGAGACTAGTGATTAGTACTCCTGCTTTGTACGTGGCAGGACCCAGGTTCAAATATCAGAACAGAGACTGATTATGCGGATATATTTCTTTCTTTCTTTCTTTCCAAAGTTCAAACACGAAAACGATGGGATACTATCTTTTATTAGGCCATAACTGCTACCTTCCATGCACTTTCCATTTCATTAATTATTAATCATCCCAACATTTGATGCTATATTGCCAAAGTTGCTGACAGCATCATTAAAAGAGCCACAAATAAATAAATACATAACAGATAATTTATGGTCTGGAAATATGGGTTATATTTCATAAGAAAATATTACTGACAGCTAGTTTTATAGCAAAAAGAACTGCTGAATTAGAAATGGAAAGAGACAGTAGGAGGGGTAAAGCATTGTGCTTGGTAATGAAGTACTAGCTAGGAATTTTACACAGGCTACAGAAAATCAAGATCTTGTAAGGGAGTAAGTGTTATGAATGGCAGATAAAATAGTTGTTTTTGAAAGCTGGGCAAAAAATATGATTAGCATATGGGAGAATATCAGTAGCGAAGCACAACATTTAACTAAAAATAGATGTAACGGCACAGAAAGACTATTTGCTTTCAAAAAAAAAAGTGAAAAATCCCATATGTACTTTGTTTTGAAATGGAACAGAAGTGGTATAATGAGGAATACACTGACAAGATATGAGAGGAATGAGCTAGCATGGCTGAAAATAGGGCCTCGGAAATTAAGAGGGTCTGAGAAAGGAAGACGCCCCCCGTGCTTTAGAGAGGAATATGTTAAGCACATACTATTAACATGTTTGGAAATTAAGTAGAGGAAAAAATTAAGTTATATTATACATATTCATAGAATTTGTAGTTAGATACATGAGAACAAAAGTAGGCTCTATAGGGCATAAGTGTAAATTAATGTTATCTGAACTTGCTTTGGCTAGGATGCATGTATACCTGCATTTTTTTCTTAGATTTAACACATTCATAAATCTTCTAATCTTTCATTATTTGCTAATCTAGTTTCAGATTATGCTGCTTAGATTTTTTGCATTATGAAACGTGAAACAAAGCTGTCCTCTACATCATCACACTTATTACAGCAATGGAGGTGTCGAGCACAATAACCTCACTTCAAAAAGATTTCAAGATTTGTAAATATTACAAAAACTTCTGCTTGTGCAGATTTCAGCTTGATATTAACAAACTACCTGATAACCTAATCAAAACTGATCACATTTAATGAAATTAAGAAAGAAAATTTTCTTTCAGAGGCTTTGGCAGACAGCAAGATGATTAGTCTGTTATATTCGAATAATACTATCTGCAAGATTCAAATAGACAAAATGCCACGATACAAAGGAAATAAAATATTGTTTAGACACTAGCAATAACTGAAAAAATACTACAAAGAAAGGTATCTGAAAATGCACAGAAGACTTCTGATTCAGCATTTCATATTGCAACTAGGTATATCACACAAACCTTAACAAACTGTCCTTTTGTTTTTTCTACAACTTCACATGCTTCATAACACACTTTCCATATAAATATATAATTCATCACGACATCAACACAATGGACCACAATTATGAACCCTAATGTTGTATTATGAAGGGGGAGTGACTAATTCTTTATGAATCATCAGATCAAATTAACCCTAATGTTGTATTATGAAGGGGGAGCGACTAATTCCTTATGAATCATCAGATGTGTTCAAATTATGAAACACAGTGGAATGTTGACCTTCATCCTCTATTCCTAGACTATGTCAGCACTCACAATAAAAATATATGCTATTTAAATATTAATGGTCTCTGTTTCAGTGCGGCGATAAAGAATTTCAATCCTTTACACAATGTGTAACTAATATAAAAGTGGTGGGGGAAGGACAACTGAATAGAAATGAAGCATGCACCTTTAACTATTGCTATGGGCATTGTTCTTACACACTACACAAACTCTGCAATTACATTTCAGCTAATGGCAAGATCAATTCTCTGCAAAACTGTAAACAATTGGAAAAACACAAAACCTAGAACCATTTCTTTGGAATGAAAAATCTGTAGGACCACATCTATTGGCTTACAAGTTAATTCACGATGCCAATTCTCTTTTCCACGAGCCATATTCTGGCCATGTAAAAAGAATGGACGCTCCTTTCAAGTGGAAGGTTTACAGCCATGCACGTCAATGACTAGACTCATTCCCTTCCAAGTAACAAGACACTGAAAGTTACTGTCTAATGACACGCATTCTGAAATAAAACTAGTGTAGCTGCAGGTGCTACATGTGACTAGAGTCGTGCTACTTCCTACATGTACGCTAGCGGCCAAGAATGAAGTCACTCTGATCGTTTACTAGGAAGTGATACACAAAGTTGACTTTCTTCCTGTCCAGTGCCTGCTGGTTCATACGCGCTTGGGATGACAGATCGCCACGACTCCGAGGAGGGTCTCGTAGGAAGATGGTCCCAAACAGAGCGGCTATCAAAGCAAAACAGAAGAAAACACTGTAATAATAGAGCCACTTCCAGTGAACTAATCAAACAGCAAATCCAAAACATCACCTGTGTAGTCAATAAACAAGCATTCTATGCCCTACCAATAAGCAAACTAAATCAAAATGCACTGCATTTTCTATATCATGTTCAATGTCGCATGTCTTGTAAATGTATTTGCCTCACCAATAATCTTAGTGTCGAGGCCATTGTAACTGGCGTGGCAAAGCACTTCTTGGAGGAATGCACACAGGTATAAGAACACATTTTTGCGGTGCTCTGGAAGTTGCATAACAATCTGAAACAGAACAAATACAAAAAAATATTACGAAAAGTCAACGACACATAATTTAATTTTATATCTTGTATTCGTCCACAGGGCAAAATCTTTACATAAAGGTAGCTAACAAACATTCATGGCCCTTTCTTCAACGAACCACACTACAGCAATGTTCATTCAATCCGATCATATTTTCCTGTTTCATTTCTTTGCACTTTGGAGAAATGTTCCCTGCTTCTGACAAAATTTATCTTTTTCTTGACATAATTAAACTCAATATAAAAGCTGCTTTGTAACAGCCACCTGTAATACCTTTCGATTTGATTCAGTTTTCTAAACACCGCCGAGTTTTTCATTCACTGAAAGAGCTTTCTGTTTTATTCCAGTTTTATTACCAATCACGGTTAAAGGGTAATTAAAAGGATACACCACCAACAAAAACCTTGTTCTTGCATGACGAGAACAAATATAAGTTAGTCAAACGCTGAACAACACCTATATCACATGAGCTCATGTACATTCTAGCACGAATGGCAGCAGAAGCGAGACTTGAACTGAGCATGTAACAATCACATGGTGTTCCTTAATTTGGTGGACTCTTTAGGGAAATAATTTGAACTAGTGGCACACGGGCCAAGAACAAGTCAGTACGAGATGCACACATTCGAAACACCACATATGTATTTATTTTTTATTTAGTGTTCTGTCTGACGACAGGTCCATATGAACAGGATTCTTCCATCCTTTTCTCGGACTGGGACCTGTTCATATACGTTCTTGGCAGATGATCCAGAAGTGGTTTGCCATTGCCTTCTTCTGTGTGTGAATGGAGTAATTGTTGGGATGCCACGGAGGAAAACTCCGTGTTGCCTAGACCACGGCCTTGCCCAACACAAGTTATAAATTCGGGCACCGCCGGGAATCGAACCCGAGACCCCACGATTACAAGGCCAGCGTTCTAACCGCTAGACCACCGTGGCGGTTCACCACATATATATATGTAACCTTTTGGTCTTTTTTACACAACAAGAATAAAATGTTTTAATGGAAATATTTTAAAAACATGAACATTTTACTATTATTTCCAAACTTCTTAAGCAGGAAGAAATGTGTACCTGTACTGTGTACTGCAGGGCTCACCTGTTTGCACTGTACATAGTTGTTAGCAGCATCGAGACAGACGCTGTGAAGGTTATAGGGAATGATGGGCTCAGCAGTAGATTCCAGCAATAGCAACAACGCTTCTGCCACTGAATGTATGCTGCCAGCTTGGTTTATATTCAGGAAACAGAACACAACCAGTGCATAAAACTACTGTAGAACCATCACAGCACACCATGTAAGTAACATCATGCAATTAAAAGCTTTCCATGAAATCCATCAAAAATGTCTACTTACTGAGGATCTAAATAGAATCATTCAAAAATGAATTAAAAGAATACTCTAAAAAAAATTATTCCTGCTTTGTTCCATTATAAACTTCACCTTGAAAAGATGAAGTACTCATAAAAAAAAGTCATCATCATCCCTCACATTATACAAAAACCAACAAACAGTGGGTGTTAAAAATCATGAAAAAAAATCTCAACTGAAATCAGCAGCAATCAATTTGTGGAAGCATGTTTAAGACGGACAGATAAAACCTGGTGCAAAATTAAATAGCTGGAGGAGGAAGGGACTTGAGAAAACCACTGTGCAGAGGATAGAAAGTAAAATGTTGTGAAGGACAGACATACAGAAACAAATGACAGTCAAAGTGGTCCACCAACATCAATTGGAAGTGACACAAAGAGGAAAAACTTAAAAGAGTGATTACAGGTGATGGAAGAAAAGAGTTTGAAAGAAGAGGACCAGAATGATTAAGAGTTAAGTATCACAGTGAAGAACCTACTTTCTTAGTTTCTTTAATGACATTTCCTCAACAGTATAGATTACACAGCACTGAATAAGAGGATGGTATATGATTTTATGTCCTCATTTATGGTCAAAAAGTGACACAGACAGTAAGCCCATTCTTTTCAGCGAGGAAATAGGTGCAGGCTAATTTAAAGTATTTTCCAATATGTGCTTAAGACAGCCAAGGAAAACAAATCATTCCAATAAAAGGATACGCATGGGATCTGGAGAACCATTGTCCAGCCAGTTACGTATCTGTAGAAGATCTGAGTTGAGCCCCGGCTCTTCAAACAGGTGTGGCTGCTTGAGGCCATGACGGTAAAGGTGGTCAACCAGAAACCAGATCTCCTTGGGTATGGGGTAAGGATCCTGTGTGCTGGTCACCTCCTTCGCATTCTCCTGCAGTGTCATTCCAAGACAATACAACTATGTAAGGCAGTTTTCCAACAAAATTGGCATGGCTGTTAATACCTTACATTATCATATGATTCCTTCAAATAATGGTACTCAAACTGTGATCAGTGAGCCCATTTGTAATACACAAAATATTTTATGAAATTCACTGAAAAGTGCAAAACCAGATCTTCTGTGTGCCAACATCACTTTTAGCTAAGTTTACAAAAACTACTATTTTATACCACTCCTATCGAATGTTTTAGTAAAAACGTTTTACTTCTTGATTTATTCCAATACCACAAAATTATTTATGCGTAGTTACTGATTTCAACACCACCTTCTACTGATGAAATCAAAACTGCGGGTAAAAATTGTACATAATGTTCTGTTTACTCTTATTTACAAAATAAACACACACCAGCTCCATGAGTCTGCCGAGAGGAATCTCTCTCACTGGGACACTGATGTACACCAGAGCTTCAATGGAAGACCCAAAACAACTGCGTTCATATGTTCCTGTGTGCAGAAACAAAGTATTATATACAAGAGTAATAAAATATTAAAGGATATTTTATAATAAGTTTTCATAAAATAATTGCGTAGTGGGTAGTTATATACCTTAAGACTTCAACATCACAACCCTACTTTTGAATGTATTTGGTCCAACATACAAGTTTCTTGTTTCCATCAGAATGAAACTATTTTGATTGATTCTTACACCATTCTTGTGACTCTCCTTTCCATAACTGACGCTTATTTCACTTGTGTTTTTAACTACGCTGATTTTTCACTGTAGGTTACGTTGATCGATCTACTCCTTAATACCGTATGTTGGAATATTGAGTCAGATTCCTGGCACACGTGGCCGCGCACACACACACAAAAGGCAGTCAATCAGTCTGTTTTTCTTTATCCCAGGATAGAATCCTCTAATCCTCAGCCCTCCCCCCGCCAAGACGTTATTGCATAGCTTCCACACAGATTTCTGAACCGAATGAAGATGAACATGAACGGGGCATGCATAATAACAAAACTGACAATTTCTTTGTTTCAATTAGTATGCTACTCGAACATACAAGTGCCTGTATGATCTACAGCTTTTGCAGTGACTAAATTCAGTGAAGTCTTCGTGGGCAATCAAATGCATCAAGTAGTCGCAAAAGTCAACATTTCAAGAACCATCTCAGTCATCATCATCAGGGATCAGATCCCTGATGATGATGATGATGATGATGACCAAGATGATTCTCGGTGACATGTGGCTAACTTCAATCACATTACATATTTAACATAAAATCCAATTGCTATATAAAACTGTGGGAATTTTTTTGGTTCTCGTGGCAGCAGGTATGAAGGTGACTGTCTTCTGTGTGAGTCTGTGTAGCATGGTAAAAGTAAAACTTGTACCAGACTACATGATACAACAATCCAGAAGACAGCCACCTTCAAACTGCAAGAAACTAATCCTGGCAGACTGGGACTCTTTATTTAAAAATTTCAATGTACCTGTGACAGTTATGAAGATATCCTTGCCACCATCCAAGTGTAACACCAGTATGTCATATAGTTTGTCCTCACCAGAGTTCAGTTTGAACGCAGACTTCTTGTCAACATACACTTCAAGCTTGATATCACATTTTTCTCCTGTCAATAAAATTATCACAAATAGTAAGCTGTCTGAAATCCAGAAGTTACTAAACAAAATAAGGTCAGGATATTTACAGACAACATACAGGGTTAAATGAAATCCATGCACAAGCTATTCACAGTGTAATTCCTTGTTATAAAATATGTCCTGAGACACTCAGTTTTCAAGATACATGTCACCATCAAATGCAGCAACACACCTCTCAGCAGTGTTACTTCGTCACAATGGTACATAAAGCGCACTGTTAGTCGTACTCAAGAAACAAAGTAGACAGCAGGGCTCAGCTGCGACTGAATAGTCATGGAACACGCCCTACAATATTTTGGTCAAAGTCATCCAAATTCTGACGTGTTTCTATGACTGAAGCACCATTTTTGTAAGACTCAACTGTATAAACACCAACCAATAAAGATCCATAATTGCAACCAAGGATTGACAGCCATGGAGAAGCTCACGTGATGTCACACAAGAACTGGGACTATCCCAACCCCAAGATCCTCTAGTACTACAAGATGAATAATTGCATCCACACCACAACTTTGGGAGTGCACGTTTCTTGACAATTATCCTCTAAGGATGTAATTCTGCAAATGGCTAGATCAACATGCTGCAGATGATCACTTTTTACACAATATTCTGTGAACCGAGTGTTTCACACATAAAGGTGTGTTCAACGTCCACAACACTCACCTCAGAACACAGGACAATCCTCATGCTAACTGCAAACATGGTCATAAAGTCCACTTCAGCATCAGCATTTGGGCCGGTATCACAAGGAACATTGTCATGGGCCCCTACCTACTACCTAACAGATCGACTGCTGAAAGATATCATAATTTTCTGGAAACTCTTCTACCAGGGCTGCTTGAAGATGTGCCTCCAGCTGTGAGGCAGAGACTGTGGTTTCAGCATGATAGATTTGCAGTGTACTATGGGGAATATGCAAAGCAATAGTTGAACGCAACATATCCAGAAAGGAGAGTGAAAGTGGATGGCAGATCATATGGCCTTCTCAGTCATCAGATCTAACTCTGATGGACTTTTTCTAGTATAAACACCTGAAGCACATTTATGCAGTCTCTCCCAGGACTATCGAAGATCTCGTGGCAAGACTTCAAGCAGCTGCGACAATGATTAATGTCAACACACTAAGGCATGTTCAAGAGAATGCCATGCAGTTCACTGCCATTTGCCTTGAAATGGACAGAGGCTGCTTCAAACACTGACTCTTAACTACGAGGCACCCACGGTTTGATCATACGAGAGCTTGCAGCATTTGATATAAATGTGCATTATGAAAACCAAATGTCACAGGATATGTTTCCACACTTTAAAATTGGTTTTTAAAAAGGAATCATACTATGGAAAGCTTGAGCATAAATTCTCTTTCACCCTGTGTGTGTGCACATGTGCGCGTGCACACACTCACAAAGCATAAAACAGAATTATGATTGAAAACAGCACCCATCCACAAAATTACATTATCACTGACTGGATCTCCATTTACATCGCAGCCAGGCTTCCTCCTCTGCAAGGACAAGGCCAAGATTTTAATGCAGCAAAATTCTCTCAGCACAAACATGCCCAGCCAGGGATAAAAATATCCATAAAGAGAACAGTATAGCCCTTGAAAGTTTAACAAACTGAACCTCATCTCTTACAACACTTCCAGACATTACCTGGCATAATAAATCCAGAGTATGGCTCAATGTTAAGCCAATCCTTGCAATAACTTGAATCATCCAACTTCTTGATGAATTCAAATGTAACTGGAACCTGGAAATAAAATAAGAAATGTATCAGACTTGTACATGTAGAATAATACAAGTACACTGAAAGCTAAAATTGGCATTATAATGAAGCAAGAATCAACACAGAATTAATTTTAACATTCAACAATACAGTAGAATTCTGCAGACATTCCCTGTAGACTACATTAATGTGTGCACGCAACCACACAAATATTAATCCATGACACAGATTACATTACTTGCTATGATGGGATAAAAAATGGCCAGCAGAGGGGACTTACATCAGCATGCCAAGAGGTTCAAACACATAAGATCAAGTGTCTAGGTTCTGAGAGACAAAGGAAATAAAAAAAAGGATAATTAATACCAACATATTGCACATAACTTACATACATAAATTTTACTTTTATTTTCCATCCCTTGTGCTCCCACTAAATATAATTCATCGCCCTGATGACGGAGGCAGTATGACCTCAGAAACGTTGGTAAACATCGACCAGTCTACACAGCGCAACAACCCAGAAGACAGAAATCTTCATACTCATCGCTCTGATGACGGAGGCAGTATGACCTCAGAAACGTTGGTAAACATCGACCAGTCTACACAGCGCAACAACCCAGAAGACAGAAATCTTCATACTCATCGCTCTGATGACGGAGGCAGTATGACCTCAGAAACGTTGGTAAACATCGACCAGTCTACACAGCGCAACAACCCAGAAGACAGAAATCTTCATACTCATCGCTCTGATGACGGAGGCAGTATGACCTCAGAAACGTTGGTAAACATCGACCAGTCTACACAGCGCAACAACCCAGAAGACAGAAATCTTCATACTCATCGCTCTGATGACGGAGGCAGTATGACCTCAGAAACGTTGGTAAACATCGACCAGTCTACACAGCGCAACAACCCAGAAGACAGAAATCTTCATACTCATCGCTCTGATGACGGAGGCAGTATGACCTCAGAAACGTTGGTAAACATCGACCAGTCTACACAGCGCAACAACCCAGAAGACAGAAATCTTCATACTCATCGCTCTGATGACGGAGGCAGTATGACCTCAGAAACGTTGGTAAACATCGACCAGTCTACACAGCGCAACAACCCAGAAGACAGAAATCTTCATACTCATCGCTCTGATGACGGAGGCAGTATGACCTCAGAAACGTTGGTAAACATCGACCAGTCTACACAGCGCAACAACCCAGAAGACAGAAATCTTCATACTCATCGCTCTGATGACGGAGGCAGTATGACCTCAGAAACGTTGGTAAACATCGACCAGTCTACACAGCGCAACAACCCAGAAGACAGAAATCTTCATACTCATCGCTCTGATGACGGAGGCAGTATGACCTCAGAAACGTTGGTAAACATCGACCAGTCTACACAGCGCAACAACCCAGAAGACAGAAATCCTCATATTCACCGCTGTGAAAACCTCAAATCTTACAAATATAATTCCATTAAAATTAATAATATACATATGAAAAATTATAAGCAAATATCTGTTAGAAGTTTTCTTGATCAACATCAGACTACAATTCCACCACAAAACTAGACTCCTAGTTTACAGCAAAATGTGCACTAACCTGTCCTGTGTTTGCAATAATGAGGTCGCGGGTCTGTGATTCCAGGTAGCGGATGGTGTCAAAAATCACTTCTGTATTATCCACCATCACTTGGGGCAGAAACTCATTCTCCAGTTTATCTAACTTTTTCATCACTTCCTCGTGTATTTTTCGATACTTAGCAGCGTCTATTACTCTGATCTGAGAAGACAAAGCACCAGATTTCAATACAAAATTTGTAACAGCTACAAAAAACCATAGTTTTTAAGACATTCATGTAACAGCAATAATTCATAAAATTAACTTCAGCAGTTATAAATCCTTAGCCTTGTATTACAAGAGGATAATATGCCTACTTACAGTGTTTACTCTGTACATCCCAGCCAAACTCTCAAATAAGTAAACAAATAGTAGCAGTAGTAGTGTGTATACATATGCACCAGCTACCAAGGCTATTTGCACCAATCTACTAGTTCAGGCACCCATTTGCAGTATGATAAAAGGATCATATGGAAGAGTTATAAACCATGGTACACATCAACAGTCCATAAATGATCTAAAACAAGGAGCACTTAATTCCTTGGCCTTGGCCTTGCCTAAGGGAATGTACAAGTATTAAGATCAGCTTTCTGACACTTAAATCCCGTAGATGAGGGCAGTGAAAAGACAAAAAACACGAGGCTGATGAGTGAATATGACAGAAAGGAAAAACATCTCCCAGTCTGGTTGGAAGATCCCATGTTTCTAAATAAGCTTTCAAAATAAACAATGTAATTAATTCTCAATTTATTTTCTAGATTTTATGATTTTCCACTAACAGTGTTGAAAACTTCAAGGACATCTATCAATTTTTATAATGGATTCAACTCATCCAACCACCTATACACCAATCCATCCACCACCCATGCACCAAATTTACAAATTAACATCACATAATTCTTACCTGAGAATCAAAGAGAGAACTAACTGGTTTATGATCGCTAATACGAAGTTTAGGGTGGCTCCTGTATGCAACTTGTGTAATTCCATCTCCCTTCCACAGGACACGGTCACACCAAGCTGGTACACGATTCTTCTCGCTACACACAAACAAAGTCATTCACCTATAATCCCAGTAAATATATGTACATATAAAGATATAAATATTATTAATTAAATTAAACTCTGCTGAATGTGATCCCTGTTAACCTTTCAAAATCTGTTTGGCCACTAACATAACTGCAACTCAAGGCCCAAAACAAACACCCTCATCTATCCACATGTCCCTTCCACACCATATCATAACATTACACATCTGTAACACTGCAAATGCATGATGTCTGGTTTACCTTCAAATTTTTTTAAAGTACAGTGAAACCTCGATGCATCGTTTTCGGCGGGGGTGGGAAATAAAAACGATGAATGCGGGAAAACGATAGATGCGGGAAAGCATTAAAAATTTAAAAAAAAA